AGGGCACTACAAGAGGTAGGTGTTTTGCGTGGGCGATTGGAAGGCCTTGAATCGAACAAAAAAAACACCTCTCAAAAAGCATGGCTCCGTGCTCGAAAACCACGTTGCGTGCGTCAACTACACAGCAGACGGTTGCTCGGACCCAAAGGAGAAAACGTCAAACGGAGAACAGCGGATCGGTACTCACTTGCGCATTATTCTTTAGGCCTTCTGAAGTGCACGAATCTTCCTCATCCTCAGATGGAGATGGGGTGGTTGTGAATGAATCACGGATCATTACGACGACGATAAATAAATAAGCTTGCCACTTCTTCTTCTTCGCGCCTCGATGGCTTTGGTTACGCCAAGCCAAACGTCACATACGGCTAGCGACTACAGAGGCTCAGGGCAGGCCTGGGCCCGACGCAGGTGACCGCGCAATTTCTCATACCGCGCCCGACAGACGAGCTCGGTGCTCGGCGGCCCCGCCGAACCCCGAGCGACAACTCGGCTCCGCCCCTCGGCTCGGCGGGCCGGAAACGGAGCCGAGCGCGGCAAGAAAAGTTATTTGAATAACTCGTAGTTATTGTAATAACTTACTGGAGTTACAGAAACTAAAAGTTATTGCAACAACTTGTTGTTGCAGTAGCCCCGAGAGCCATTAGAGTTGAAAAATGAGGAAAAATAAAATTAGGCTGTCGGACAATCGAAACGAGGCTTTTTATTCTGTTGAGTTATCTCGTTAATCTTCTTTTAAATAAGTGAGGTATTACAACAACAGGGAAAGGGCTCGTTTCACTTGTCCGACAGCCGGAGTTGCTTTTTAAACTTAAATAGCGCTAAAAAAAATACTAGAACAAGTAGTTGCTGCAGTAGGGTTCATTTTCTGGAACTACAATAAGTTGTTACAGTAAGTAGGAGTTATTACAATAACTCGGAGTTTTTCAAATAACTTTCGCTGGCGCGCCTGGCGCCGTATCCGGGCGGCTAAACCACGGCCCGGCCCGAGGCCCGAGCGCTGAGCCGAGTATAGCCGAAAGGCCTCCCGGAAACGGCGCCGGGCGCGCCAGCGAAAGTTATTTGAATAACTCTAAGTTATTGTAATAACTCCTACTTACTGTTACAACTTATTGTAGTTCCAGAAACTGAACCCTACTGCAGGAACTACTTTTTTTAGTATCTATTCAAGTTTGAAACGCAACTCCACCTGTCGGACAAGTGAAACGAGCCCTTTCCCTGTTGTTGTAATACTTTATTTATTTAATTTATTTACTTAAATGCGGCTGTCGGACAAATAACTTGTCGGACAAACGGGGCGTCCCCATCTCATCCATAGGCTGTCAAGAGACTCACCCAAGCAACAATAGACCTGAAGAGTTCATTCAAGAAGACAATGAAGTAAAATTGATCATAATTATGTTAGATTCCATTCAGCACAATAATAAAACACCTTGAATTTAAAAAGAGATGCTATTTATTATTGCACCAATTGTTGGAAATTAAATACAAGTTCAATAATAGATAATACATTGTAGATATATACTGGAGAAAAAACCATCAACGCCATCATATGTACTCAGTCTGCTCATGCCCATGAACAGGACTATACCACATACTAAGTTCTAAGAAATTAAGAAACTAAAATTTGAAGACAGGCTAGCCTACAATACTTCAATTACAAAACAGGAGAGAACTTTATGAAAAAGTTAAATTAGTTCAATAAAAATATAGATATAATAGATATTGTAGTATTGGGGTTACGGGAGAGCCAAGATCGTGTGAACAACAGAACTCATGAGTGGTAAATGGCGACGAGTCAAAGGCTCGCGCCTCTATTTATTCAGTGTTTGGCATAACAACAAGAACAAGGCGATCGTAAAACAATTAAATGGTTCAGGGGTTTCAGTGTAGGTGTCGCCTCCATAGTGATCACTAGTGGCCGTGACTGAGGGTATTCTGCTGTAACCTGGTTAGGTTAATGTTACCACAATACTACACTACTCCCTTCTTTTTAGAACCCTTCCCTATAAATGCTCAGAAAATTCTAACAATCACAAGAGCTTCGCGTTGAACTTCATACAATACACTTGGACGTTAACGTACAAATCGATTGAACTGACTCTACTTTTGAACATTGTTGATTAATAAATGAACAAATTCTAAATAATTTCAACCTAATTAAACCTGTGAACTTCCACTTTGCCAAACCTACGGCTTATTCAAACCTACTAGTCTGGCTCGGTGTGCAAACAAAAAGAAATTGACTTCCCTCCTAGCATGTAGCAATGCATTAGTATGATTCCTTGCCGGACCACTATGAACTTGCTATCAAAAGTAGTTTAAAAATCCATTCAGGAGATCAACCACGGAGTTCCATGCCTTTAAATTTAAATTAATCTTGATGTGAACTTGCTGTGGGAGAAAAGGTGTACCAGTGTACCTGAAACACACAAATAATCCTGGAACAGTATTTGTTGAACACTTAAACATTTGCCTTGGGCTGTAATTAACTGGCCCTAGGTGTCTCCTACACGACTGGCTAGACCTACCTACGTGACACCTTTGATTTTTGAAAACTACCACGTTTCTTATTAACCTCTTGAAAGGTTAAGAATACTTAGCTTTTAAAATAAAGATGTTTCGCGTATCTAATCCAGCGTTGATCTTCCTCTGCCTGCGTTGGTTGGTGATTTCCTTTGATTCCAGCGTTGTCTTGAGTCTTGACGTGTTTAATTATTCTGGTTCTTTATCCAATTCCTTGGTTTAGAACTTTATTTCTCGGCTAGTGCTGTTCTGCTAGCCGTCCTCTCTCTCCGCCTGCTCAGAGTGCTCTGGCAGCGTTCCTCTTTTATTCTCATACTCGGCTGCGCGCGCCGCTCATGCGCAGTGGGTTGTCCCCACTCCTTCCTTTTCCCCTCCTTCCGTGGGGACGCTGCGCTTTGGCACCAACTCCCTCCAACGGTCTTTCGCCATCTTGGTGTTGTACTGGACTAAGCTGCTGTGTCGCCCTCTCGTTTCGCGAAGTTTCTTTTGACCTGTTTCTTTGAAAATGGCTCACCGTGTAATAATTAACAATTATTCCGGCTACAACTTGGTGGATGACAAGGTTTAGAAAGTAAGTATTAGTCTTTAAATCCCCGTGTTTGCTTAGATTTCGATTTGGTCGTTAGGGTGTCTTAGAATGCTTACGCCCTGTGTTCTTTTTAGATCTGTGGTAAATGCATCCAAGCCACTACTGACCATCCCTTTTGGCTAGTCTTTAATCCGTCGTATGTGGTTCTGGACATTTATGTCCCTGAAGTTATCCTGCTGGACGAGACATTTTATCGCTGTGGCTGTTGCCTCGGAAATTGTTTCGTAAGTGTCTTTCCGCCGTTACTCCTCTGCCTATCCAGTTGTTGTGTTTCTCCCCTTTCGATTTTTATTGTTTGATTCCTTTACTCAACAGATGGTGATTCCTTCTCATGGAGCCCCTCCCGCTCCCAACGAGTACGTCGTCCCCCAGGTCCCACCTCCCGGTGTGGAGTATCCTGCATTTGACCTTAATGCCGCCATGGTGGATGAGTTCTTTGCTGCGATCCTCAATGACGTTGAACAAGGCATTCCTGAGGTCGAACTCATCGATCTCGTTAGTGAGGATGAGGAGGACGTCATCGTCTTAAGTGAGTTTTTCTGCCTGTTTTGCCTTTGTATCTTCTCTTGCCCCACCATGTTTGTGATAGTTTTCATGTATTATCACCATGCTTTTGAGGGTGATGAGGCCGTTTATGTGTGCCGGCCCTGTTCACCCTTCTCTCAACCGGAGTTTCGTTTGACTGGCTCTTATTTATATAAGAGGCAAAAATGTACTTTTGAGGAGCTTTACAATCCTCGAGCATTGTGGAAACTTAGTAAAGCATGTCCTAAGGAACCACAAGGACAGAGAATCTACCTTAGACAAACAGATTCAAGAGTGGAAAGCAGGTCGAGCCAAGAGGAAAGTGTCGAAAACCTCTGAGATTAAGATGGTCATGTGCCCTCGACGCCTGAAAGTTGGCTTGTGTCAGAATGGTGGCTGTCCATGGGCGCCCATTTAAAATGATGAATGATGCTGCATTTCAGGACATCATTCAACCATACCACAGCTCATTCTCTTCTAGAGAGAGGTAGGTTACATTAATTTAACCTTTCAATACACTTATTTGGGTGAAGGCTACTGTAAACTGAAAATGCTATCTTCAAATCTGCTGCACATATCAAAACCAAACTTCAAGACATAATTAGTATAGATATAACTTAGATTTCAGCATTAAAAACACTCAGAAATATTGAAAGGTTTCTGCAACTTTCTTAAGTATGAGTGTTTTTATCAGAACTTTCCGTTAATTCACACGATGAAGTTTATGATTTAAGACAGCCACCATAGGCTTAAAATGACCCAAAGTTGTATAGGTACACAAGAATGGTTTGAAATTTTAACAATACTAATGCAAAAAAAATGCAACTAATTAAAATTTTAAAATTTTGGAGAAATTTTCAATTTACAATAGCCTTAATATTTAGAACATATTCTTGCTCTATTTTCAAAATAACTGTGACACACATACTGATAGTAACCTGAAGGGGATGTCATAGTTCAGAGTGACCCTTTCCTCATGTCGAAAATGATGAAAATACTCCAGAGCTAGTTTCTGCTTCTTGGCTGTAAGTGCAATGGTGTGATTAGTTTATTTATTTACAGATTTGCAGCCAACGATTTTAGCATTCGGACAATGGTGCAAGATGAGGCAGCCAGACTACGCACATACATTAATCAAGAAGTTAATGGAAAATTACTTTCACTGAAAGTTGACTCAAGCTAGAGAGATGGGAACCCTTTCTTTGGAGTCAACATCCCGTTT